ACTTTTAGACAACACAGTTCGGTTATTGTGCTAGGTTTCCAACCTATGATTTATATAATAATGTGGCTATATAAATTTTAAAAATTCCTTCCTTGGCTGACTGTTGACTGCGGAACCCTCCTACACCCCCCCCCAAACAGCTGTTGACTTGACTAAGAGGCTCGACAATACAGCCCTTTCTCCTCTGAAATAATATTTGTGCCTTCAGTGGAGGTGGAAACCCTAAAAGCATCTGCTATAGTCCTTAAAGAACAGTCCTTAAGAAAAGGGATATTGATCTCTGGTGAAGATTTGCTTGAGCTACTGGCATTACTGTTAAAATTTTAAAAGTTTTTATTGTTAAATTCTTAGTTCTAACCATTACGATATGTCTTATCCGTTAATTAGGGAGATAGTTTATGATTTAAAAAGTGGCCTGGAATCAAATTCGTTACATTAATGTTTGATGATAAGGATATTAAAAAACGCTGCAAATTATTTCACAATGGTTTATTATTTCCAAACAATTATACATCTAAAGTAACATTACCTTCCGAGTTACAAAGAAAAAAAAACAAAAGGTGATTCCAAATATCGGACTAAACTGTTTTTCCTTAATCATTAGTAATATGCTAAAAAAAAATAATAGCATTAGTTCAGTAACACATTCAAAATTTAAAAACCAAACCAAGAATATAACATTTGGAGTAGAACATATAAAAAAACCAAAAAAAAAAAACCGGAGACCATACCTTTGCTCCTAATTGTCCGATTTTAACAATTTTTTTTTTTTTTTTTTTTAGGAAATTCCATAAACTTTAAAAAAAACATTTTTACAATACTTTTTGAGTTATTCGGAATTTAATTTTTACCATCCCTCGTAACTTTTTTTCCAGCTTCTTTCGTTGAAGTATGTTATATAGATAAATTTAAGGGGCGTTGAGAAAATGACTTTAGCGAAGTTTCATTGAAATCTGTACATTCGTTTAGGAGCTACAGTCTATAGCAACGCAGGTTTTTCTGCCGCCATTTTGAAAGTTAAAGGCGGAGAGTAATGTCGATGAAGGAGGATCATCCTCGGGTGACCTTTGATTTTATATCAACATTTGAAAAAAATCGGTCCAGTAGTTTCGGAGATAATGCGCGGACGGCGGATGGACAAAAAAATTTTTGTTCGTTTTTCGAATTCTACGCGTCCTGAAATGTGAAACCTCAAATTTTGAGAGGAGGTTAAGTTTTTGAATTTTTTGGTCGATTACAATGGTTGATTATTGAAAATAATAAACCAAAATCTGGTGCATTGCTCGCAATCACACAGTTTTCACTTGCCACTCTCATGGAAGAAATTTTTATTTGTTTAAGTACTCCTATAAATACAAAATTTGATTTTTATATCGCTATAATCTATACAATTAAATATTAAATAATACCAACAATGGCTTTTTATGAAAACCGCATATGCATATTTACATAATGTTGAGTCCGTATTTTATTAAGTTACGTATGTTACGTATGGAAGACTGTTCTAATCTTTCGGGCAAGCTGGTATTCCTTTGGTTCCTTTATTACAACTATTCTCTGTTATGATCTCTTATTTCTCCTTTAGTTAATTTTCAATTTCTTTCATATTTTATATTTAACTAATTAATTAAAGGTCAAAATTAGTAAGAAAATAAAAAAACTAAGTAACTTTAAGAGCATAGTAATCTGGTAGAACAGAAACGAGACGGTATGAAAATACATACATAATATATGTATATATATATATATATATATTTAACATTGATTTTTAAACCAGGGCACTGAAACATTATTTTTGATATTGTTTGTATGATAAGTTGATTAGTGTTTAAAGAAATGAGTATATATTCAAATCATTACTTTTTTCATCATCCATGTTCCCGATAGACCTAGGAACAACTTACTCCAAGTTGTTACTTATTGTTTTCCGTTACACTAAATTTCAAAACATTCGTTAAAGGTATACCCAAAAGTCTTCCAAATTTATAAAGAACAAGTTTACAAATCATAAGCTAACATAAATTTTGTTAACAGGTCATTTTTTAAATAATATTTGAGCTTGTTTAAAATTGGGAACTTTTAGCTCCGCTCTTCTTTAATAGTACATCTACATGCTGTTGGTGTGGCCTCAGTCAACTATAGTAAGACGTATACGGCCTCCTAATACGGTGCTGTTAAAGTGACTCTTAACTCTACTTTATAAAAATTCATTTATATAGGCTAGTAAAATATATTTTTACCAAAATATATATATATATTTAAACCAAATACTTTTTATTCAGAGGTGGCAGGATAAGAGAACAAGACGGAACTATTTCTCGATTCGGAAGGTAAAAACACACTTGTAAGCTATATGACAAAAAAAAAAACAGATAAATAAAATATAATAAAATAATTTTTAATAAATATAACTTTCTATCGGAATCTTTACTTGTTGGGTGCCTGGCTTTACCAGCCTTTCATCTCTAAAGAGATAAATCTAGAAAACATAAGGTACTTACCCAAAATTTGGTCATCATTAAATATTTATTCTACCATGCTAGCTCAGGGCTCAGGTGAGAAGGGGTTAGATTGGATATTATTATAAAGCAGCAAAAAAGGGTTAAGAGATCTATTTACAGAAAGAAATATTTACATCATTAATATTATGTACAAGCGAAAGAAATAAAACAAAATGTAAAAGAGAGAATTTAAACATAATTACTATATACAATTAAAGATAAATAGGAAGATATTTAAGATAATAGAAATAACAAAAAAGATACCTATCCTATGTATACAATAGTATGGCATGCCACATATAAACATCAAGAAATGATAGTCAAGATATAAGATATCAGAGCACATGCACATGCTAAAATAGGAATTAATAATTAGTCAGAGGAAGCAAAAGAGAGAAGAGTTATATTTTTTTTTCAATGCTTCCTTAATCTTGGTTACAGCTAATAAGAATAAAATATCCGATGGCATGAGCTAGGTGCTGACAATCAATGACGTCTCTTCACTGTCTTGTCTTAGCTTTATCCCCACCACTTTAATTTTAAACTGATTATTGCAAATATGTTTTTGTTGCAGTGTCATCAACTGCTTCGTATGTATTTTTAGCTATTTTAGAAGATTTTTTGCCAGGATATGACCACCATAAAATTTAAAATTTAATGCGAAGGTTTGTTCATATACCTGAACAAATTAATTTTAATTAATCACAAGATATTAATTAGAGGTAGTATTGATTTAATGGTAAAATTAAGTAACTATTGTCAACATCTCCTTCGGAAGCGGAGGACATTTTGGTTCAATGGGCCATGCAGTGAGAGTTGGGACAGGACAGCGGTATCAAGCTAGCGGAGTACAAAGAGTACAATGGCCGATGGTTGACCCTGGTCACCTGACGTGAGCTCTACCTGTCCGATAAGGGAAGGTGTGTGGAGTACGGCGTTATGATTGTTTCCATATCTGGTGTCTTTCATTGTTTATACGCATTTTTCTTGTAATATTTATATTTATTTTTACATTAATATATCAGTTTTTAATATATACAAATTAAATATTACTTCATAAAAATATAATATCTGCCTTCAAGGGCCTGCAAGAAGGTTCTTCTTGACTCTTCAACTTAGAGGCAACCCGACCTGTAAAATATATATGTTTATTAGAATAATCTGATTTACAAACAAACATATTAGTTCATTACATCATATTTAGGCTATAGATATAAACTGGCGCACCAGTGATGAATATAGATAAACAATTTTTTGGCTAATGCCATTGTAATTATTATAGTTATAAACTTCTCCATTGGACATTTAGAATCTCTAAGATATCCTTTTTCTATTTAGCACTTTAAAATTGAAAAAATATTCAATTATGCAAGTATAATCTCCATTTTAAAAAAACACCTATTTGCACTAGTGGTAGACACCACGAACTTTAGTTGTTCAAGTAATGGACAGGGAGTCGGTACCAGTAATGGACATACCTCAAAACAATTCTAAATTTTTATTTAGCTATAACGATAAGATGACGTAAATGTTCAACTAACTCTTAACAAAACTGTTAGGAGGGAGGTATGAAACACACTGATCTCAATATTACTATAGAAACAACAATGATAGGCATTTTGAAATTTTCTTTTGGAAACTTTGTTAATAAAGTTGTCAATAGAGGGCATTGTTCTTCAATCTAGGAAAAACTGGAACCTTTAAATCAACAAGAAAGCTTATTATTTACATTTAAAATCCAATCTGTCCATAACTGGTGCGTTCACTGTAGTTATCATTGTAATTTATAAGAATGTGAGAAAAAAAAATTATTTATAAACTCCAAAACAAAGCTTTACATTTTTTTTTCTCTTGACATTGCAGAACTTTTAGATCTTTGGCCACCTTAACTTCTAAATCTCTGCCTATTTTGGGAAATTTCTTTCCAGTTATCAGCATGCAGCTCTTTGTATCTTTGTTGATTCGATCAATCCATTTGCTTTTTGGCCTTCCACATGGTGTTTGCCCTACAGTTGAGGCCTTTATTGTTGTGTAGAGCCTTCCTGGTGCATTTCTGCGAACTACATGGGACGACCATCTTAACCTCCTTGCCCCCATATCATGTGATATTGATTGACCAATTGCTGTAATTAATTACTTATTGTTTTTTCTACTCCATACTATCTTTATCCTTCATAAAGACTCTGATCTCAAGTTGCTTTGCATTTCTTAAAAATCAAGAAAATTATTTTTCAAGGCTTGGATTTTTCTAAAAAAATCACGTATATTTTGACTACAGTTGATTTTGACGAATGAGGTTACAAGGGAATAAAGTGGATTAAAATAAATTTGGAATGAGATAAAAAGTTGAGATTTGTATTTATCACCTCGAACTCTTAAATACGAATCATCATAGCAATCGAAAAATAAAACAATTTGGATTAAAATTTTCACCAAGGCCTTGGATTTTTCTAAAAAATCATGAAAATTTTTATAACGATGGATTTTACCAAGTGGTGTATCAAATAAAATTCCATGGTGACGTGGTGAACCATAGTTACATTCTCCCGATATTTCAGTGCAAAAAGTAATGTAGGAAAATAAACTTTATTTTCAAATAATTCAAAAAATTTACAATTTTTTGTTGATATGCACCAATGATTATTTGAAAAATATTAAATATCCTACAAAACCAAAAAAAAGTCATCGAAATACTTTCGAAACATGTATAGAATACGATAGAGGCAACGTTATTATGATAATGATTCTGTTACTTACCCTGGACCAGTTGCGAACTTCACACAAAATAAACTCATAAGCCATAATGCACTGATCTCTGAAGTGTACAGGAACTGTAAATATTTATAATAATAATAACCTTTATTTGTACATACAACACAAAAAAACGGATAAAAAATAGACATATATATACATCCCTAATAACATGATCTGCGTGGACTCTAAGTCATTCCCGAAAGTAGACAGATTCAAATACCTCGGCTCCACAATAACCTCAATAAATGATCAACTAATAGAGATAGACCAGCGAATAACAAGTGCCAACAGATCTTTCTTCTCTCTTTGAAAGGTACTGAAATCCAGAAAAATCTCCAGAAATCTCAAAATAAGGGTGTACAGGGCCGTGATCAAGCCAGTTCTGGTGTACGGTTGTGAAACCTGGGCTGTAACCGGCACACTAGAAGCCAGAATTGAGAGATTCGAAAGAAAAGTCCTACGTAGAATAACAGGACCTATATAGGACCAGAACCTTGACACACGGAGAAGGAATAATAAAGAACTGCTGAAAGAAACGAGTCAGTCAATATCTCAGGACATGAAGGCAAGGAGGTTAAGATGGGCAGGGAATGTAGCTCGTAGCAATCCATCAGGACGCCTTTACACGACAATGAATACCAGAGTAGTAGGCAAGAGACCACGTAGAAGGCCAAAAACCAGATTGATAGATGGGATAAACAAAGATACGGCTGAGCTTCATGCCGCAAACTGGAAAGCAGTAGCCCAAGATAGGCAGAGGTGGAGAAGGCTGGTTCAGGCTGCCAATGATCTACAAGGTCTGTAGAGCCAACCGAAAAAAAAAAAAAAAAAAAAATATATATATATATATATACACACACACACACACACACACAGGGAGTTTCTTTGTTATTTATTTCATATAATGTAAATAATTCATAAAAATGCAAATCTTCAGGTGTGAATATCTCCTAAACAAAGCGTTTGCGGACATACCTTCAGAGATATTTTTTTTTTCTTGTTTTGAGGTCCTTAGTTAATTTTTACAATTTGGCCACTTAACCCTGAAACACCCTGTATTACATACTGTATTATATATATTACATATACAGATAATTTTCATTGTTCTTTTCTCTGTGGCAGATTTTTCTCTGCCTGCTAAGGCACAGAACTTACTACTATTAAACCAGCCTTAGCAGGAGTGCCTCAGAGGTCAGTACTCGCTCCTCTGTTGTATATTATTTACACATAGGATATTCTAGACAATGTTGATAGTCTGACCACGACTTACTGAGATGATACAACAAACTTGAGAAGACATCAAAATTCAATATACGCCTCACAGACTCTACAATATCACCAAAAAAAACATTCCACAACCAATGCGAACTCGACAAAGACAAATCACTACATATCACTTTTACCCTCTGCTAGACAGACACAGTTCAATATCTGACGAATGAAGAAAAGAATAGTTGCGGTGGTCAGTCAAAAAAGAAGGCAAAGATAAATGATAATATTTATTTTTGCATATGCTGACGTTTCGACCTGAAGTTCAGGCCTTCATCAGGGCTAAGGAAATAACCAGATAACAAGGTATGAGAAACATAAGTAGTGATAGTAAAAAAAAAATTATAAAATAAAATAAATAAATATAAAGTAAAATGAAATCGTTAGAATAATGACTAAGAACTAAGAGATAAATAATATAATTTTTTTTTTTTTTTTTTTTTTTTTTTACCATCACTACTTATGTTTCTCATACCTTGTTATCAGGTTATTTTCTTAGCCCTGATGAAGGCCTGAACTTCAGGTCGAAACGTCGGCATATGTAAAAAAAAATATTATCATTTATTTTTGCCTTCTTTTTTGACTGACAACCCCAACTATTCTTATCTTCATTATCCACGACAGTCAACCATTTACCAATTATTTTTCAATATCTGACATTTGACAGAAGAATTACATGGGGCCCAAATAACAAGAACAAAACAAAAACTCTAAACATAAGACTAAGACTATTATACTTACTCATTTCAAGACTTTCGAAATCAAAACTCAGACAGAAGTTGAACACATATACTTACCTACTTAAGCCCATTTGGACTTACGGTTCACAGATATACTGGACAGCCAAAAAGAGACTCACATGCGTAAACTACAGACTTTTCAATCAAAATCTTTCAGGATTACCACCAAGGTTCCGTGGTACGTCAGTAACATTACTTTACATAAAGATGCAAACAGTTAAAATCACACGGACACACCAACTCACTGATTCAAGGCATGGCCGCAACTAACATGCCTAATAGCACCCGTAGGAAACTGAAAAGAAGCTGGACTAGGGATCTCCTCCACTAACTACAAATATTGAAATCAAGAAAGGAAGGACTCTGCTGGGCACTTCTCTCTCTCACTCCTATTCCAATCATCTACATCTCAACACGAAACTTGCTGGTTGTTGTCTGACAGGTATTGGTGAAAAAATAAAATTAATAAAAAAAATAGTTATTCATTTAAATTCTTTAAGAATAATAATAATAATAAAATACTCACCCTCTTCCCGGCAGTTATCATAAAGTTCTTCAACCTTATCATTGAGATCTTCATCCATCAGCTGGGATTTGGTGTAGTTTTTTGCCACGTCCCAATCAATATCTCTCCCTTTTTTCTGTTTAAAACCAATCGTAATATTTGAAAAGCGTTATATCTGATTTGATATTACTCAATCAATAATATATTATAAATAAAATAAAATGAAAATGATGAAGGTAAGTAAAATATAAAAACACTCCAAATAATTACAGAGTGGTTCATTATTTTCAAATATTTAGTCATATGCAATTTAATGTGGTATGGAATAACCTGGGGAAAAATTAGATATAAAAAATGTCTGAGTTTTTGTTTTGTTTAAAAAATCGAAATCCAAATTATTCTTCAAATTCAGTTTCCGATTTATAAAACAAAAGAAATCAGGTGTGCATTATATAAGTTCAAAAGAACACATCTTTCCACTAAATTGCCTGATTTGGATGAATCATTTTTAATTTTTTAGTTGACTTCATTGTCTTTCAAAATAATATTGACAAATTAACCAAAAATTGTATACATTTTGAGTAATTTGCCAATTTTTTTTATTTGTTTATTGAGTATTATAACAATCTGTCTCAATTTGCTAATAAAATTCTATATTCATCGTAACGTTGTTTTATTGGTCCATCTTCTATTTGGGGAATAATGTTATGTACATAAATTTATAGGGCTTCAAGAAGAATACTTTAGGCAAGTTTCGTTAAAATCGGTAAAGTAGTTTCGGTGCTAAAGTCTATCGCAGGGATCGCCAACAGTTTTGGCCCATGAGCCACTTCGAGACCTCCACTAAGTTCCGCGGGCCACGGATTGAGATGAGAAAAAAAATATAGTGTGTCCACTCACACGACTTTTCTACCTATTTCAGAAAAGTTTTTATATCTTTGTCCATCAAAAAAAAAAAAAAAAGAAAAAGATTGAATGAGATTTATTTTTCTGAAAATTTATCAAAGAAAAGATTTGAGTACGATTTATTTGATGGATCAAAGCAATGTAAACCGGCTTAAGGTGTAAACATTTCAATACCCTCTAATATTGCTGATGAAAAACTTTTTGCCATACCCCAGTTTTGTCAAACAATAATTTCTGTTAAAAGTAGAGGAAACAGTGAAGTTTGTGTGATGCGGGCAACAGATTTTCTTACTTTCACTTAGTTATATTTTTTCTCTCATTCACCCCATGATATGAACCGGTAATCTTACATTGGAAATTGAATAGCTGTAACTATGTTAATAGTTGTCCAAAATGAACGATATTTGTAGCGAAGTTTTAGTTTTGTAGCGAATTTCATTACATTTCAATAAAATAAACATTCCTTACCTATTATAGGTAAGAAAGTAATAAGGTTGTTTGAAAGGAACTTTCTGAGAGTGATTTATTAGATATATTTTTTAAACAATTTATAAAATTATATCATGTAATCAAAGAAAGTTTCGTGGGCTGTAATTTGAAGACCCCTGGCCTATATTGAAACAGGCTTTTCGGCCACCATTTGAAAGGAAACTAGGTTAAATTTTGTTTTCTTGATCGATCACAATGGTTCGTTATCGAAAATATTAACTAAAAAGAAAAGAAAATGTAAAAAAGTACTTCCAAGGAAGGCGCGATGCCCGGTAACCTGATGAATCAAAGATTATGAGTTCGAATACCGGTGAAGGGAAGGCTTTTTAACTCTAGCATTAATCTGTCTCCCTCTCCTCGTCTCCCTACGTCTGAAAAAAACCCTAATAACCGGAAAAGGCGTGGAAGAAGAGAAAAATATAAAGGAAAAATAAAGCTCTCCTTTAATTAGAATATTCATTTAATATTTTCATTCCATCTTATGGCCAATAAAGAAATAAGAAATTTTTACTTACGAATCCCATTTCCTGCATGAAGCAGTTGTACCAACACTAAAAATATAAACACAAACATTAAAAAAATAACTAATAATTAATTCTGTTTAGAGTTACTTTTAATTGATTTTTGTTTCTTACTTTAAACATAGGTTCATCTGGAACATCGAACTGACTCAAGGAATCGATAATACTATCTAAAAAAATATAAATATATAAGAAAAATTAATAAAACATTTTGTGGCAGGGATAAAATAAATTGAACTCGTGAAGAGAAGGTAACACTGTATGGGCAAGTTCCTAAACTCAACGCTGATTCCGTCGATGGATTCCATCAATTGGTAGAATCCTGTGGATTGCGATTTCTGCTGAGTTTAGGAACTGTCTTGCTATATTCTAGCGGAAAGGCAACACTCCTAGAAGGTTACAAAACACATAAAATATAAAAAAAATATATTGTTGGCTTATGGCCAAGTCATTAAGTACGTTTTTGATTTGATTTACCTTATAGTGGCTCACAGTTGAATTGATACACCCCTTAGAAAAATAAAAAAAGATTAAATGATTCCAGTAAGCATGTGAAATCAGAAACATTTCAACAGATTTATATGTAACCACAATTTAAATATTTACAAACTAATTTTAACTAGATTAATTAATTAAATTAACTTTTAAATAATATTAATTTAGTTTAATTCCTTGTACGCAAGCCAGTTTTTTATACCACTTCTTTCAGTCTGTTTGTAATGGAGTCGACTAATTTTTCGTGATCTCTGGGCTTAGCCTGTATTCGAGAAGATTTTTTTTTAAATTCTTCTTCGCCAGGAATTTCGTGTTTTTTAATTCCTACCTCCAATTTTGCTTACAAGTGTTCTATCATATTAAGATCTGATGAATGTGGTGGAGTTTTTATCACTTTGGAGCAGTTATTAAGTAGCAATTCCTTAGCAAACATAGCAGAGTGTTTGGGGTCATTATCGTTATAAAAACTAAATTTGTTGTTTAACCCCAGATGTTCCGCAATTTGTTTCAAGTTTCTTCTCAAAACATCTATTTAGACATGTTTTTTTCACTATATCCTGTGAAGTTTCTTACACCAGAAGCCGTCATACACTCCCACACCAAGAAACAGGACATAAGAAAATAACAAAAAAAACATAACATAAGAACCAGAAAAATAAGTTAAGAAAATAACATATTACTAGGATGTTTATTGATTACAATAAATTTTTGTTTTCAATGTAATATAAATTAAACTATTTATTTATTCAATAATTTCTATCAACATCAAGCTGTATCACTTTGACAGTGAGCCACTGTAGGTTAATTTTCAAAAATATTTTAGTAAATTTCGATCTTATTTATAGATAAAAAACATTTTACAGTATGCGTTATAAAATATAATATTTTTATTGAACATTCTATTGTGCTTCCTTTTCTATTTGATAATAATTTTAATTATATCATAATAAAATATAAACAATATTATACGTAATATAATAATTCATATATTGTATACAAAGAGAAATGTCTAGATCGAAAAATAACTGCTGTCACCTAAGTAATTTTATTTTGTCTTAGGAAAGCAGGAGGTAACAGGAGTTATGTAATTAAATGAACAGCTGTGTAATTTGTAAAATAATTGCCTAAAATGATGAGCTCTTTTTACCTCTTACTCCCCTAATAACAAAATAAAATATCAAAATCACTAAAAACGTTTTTATATAATATTGAGATATATTATGTTTTTGATTGTTTTTATTGCTAACAATAAAGCTCATCGGTAGCTACTAAACAAAAAATAGAAAAAGAAAATCGATTGAGAAACAGAGAAAAAAAGGACTGAACTGTTTTGCCTTTGACAATTTATATAATAATATTTCTTTGCTGTTAGTGCAAAATTATGTAAAAATTGAGATTTTTTTTTTTACAGAAGAGCATCAAACCTATTAAGCATAAAAAATTGTTAGTTCTTTATAATTTAATAGTATAATTAAATCTAAAATCCTCTGCTACTTTCCTATTTAGCAGACTATTTATAACAGTTGCAAACTAAAAAATGTCACCTTTAGTACAAAGAGAATAAACATATAAAATTGTTACCCCTTTTGCACTTACAACAGCGATGTGTATTTTATTATTTTTTTTTTAAGTTTTGTAACACAATGGAAATGGTTTGTAATTTTGGAATCATCCATAATCTTAGTAACAAAAAATAACATATTTACATTTATCGATTTGAAAAGTCTCTGTGCATTTATCGATGGCCTTGTCCCGAAATACGATGAACTTATCCCTCTGCATGATCCGTTCTCTCATATTCGATGGCTGAAACAGAATAAAAAAAAGTTAATAAAATATATTTTTGAAGCGAAAACTTCAAAAAAGTTTTGCACTTTTTTTTTTTGTGAAGAGTGAATTAGAATGAGCCGTCAAATCTCCGATGTGTAACGCTCGGGTTAAGTCAGATGGAGTTTACTTATTGAAATAATAAAAATCGGACCTGAATATTGTTAGCTAGGAAAATGTTTACCATTTAAATATGTTTGTAATGGGCTACAATATAAAATTTTATCTTAACGCAATGCCGTGTTTGAAAGGCAAAAAGGGAAAAAATAGTGTGGAAAACCAAATTATAACAAGTTTTATTGAAGATATGGATTGAAATATCTCAGAAACTAAAAATCGGACCTGCATACTTTAAGTGAAATAAATTTTTTGCATTTTATTCTTTTTGTAATGAACTATAATTCATTATTGTATTTTGACAAGACAACGAATTTGAGTCGGGAAGAGAAAGGACAACACGAAAAACAAAACAAATAATTACGACTGTTTTGAACATAAGTCCACATAGGGCTTATAGTAAAGTAAATGAATTTCTTATAGTCAATCGGAAGTTTAGAAGTGTTTTCTAGTAAGTATTGAAGTAGCCGAGAACTATTAACAATTTCAGTCTTGTAGGACTCATGGTAAGACTTAGGCTAGAGTTAGGCAGTCCTAGTTAGCGGATCTGTTTTTTTGTTTTATGCATATTTACTTATAGTATTATTATTTTGCTGTTTATTTATTGTACATAGTATTAATGAGCTACTCTTCTATCACTATTACTATTGTCCTTAGAAGTGACAGATTGTAATATTCCTCAATAAAGAAAAAAAAAATCTTCAAGGTTTGTGATATGTGCCTAAAGAGTTTTTAAAGCAATAAATGTGTCATTATTTAGTATTAACTGATAATACATATGTTTAATTTTGATAGTAATTAGTGGATTTTGTAAAGCAGTTCAGGATGCCATATTAATAAAATAAATAAAAGATCATAATAGTTATTTTAATAATAATAATAATGAAGAGAAGAATAGTTGGGGTGGTCAGTCAAAAAGGAAGGCAAAAAATAAATGATAATATTTATTTTTTACATATGCCGACGTTTCGACCTGAAGTTCAGGCCTTCATCAGGGCTGTCTCCTTAAGTGTTGCAGGGAGAATGAATCATTATTGAAGTAGCCGATCATTATCCGGGGGGAATCATCAGGAAGAATCATTCTCCCTGCAACACTTAAGGAGACAGCCCTGATGAAGGCCTGAACTTCAGGTCGAAACGTCGGCATATGTAAAAAATAAATATTATCATTTATTTTTTGCCTTCCTTTTTGACTGACCACCCCAACTATTCTTCTCTTCATTATCCACGACAGTGAACCAATTACCAATTATAATAATAACAATCTTTTATTTATTCTGAGACGAATCCCTTTAGAAAAATTAACAAGGACAGATATGTGGGCTTTTGTGCCTAAGATATATGTTTTTACAAAGTTAAATAATAGATGTAATAGTGAAAAAAAAGTTATCTTCTAGATTAAATCGATTAAGAAAAAATAAATAAATGAAAGAACAATGAGATGAAAATATTTTTTTTCGTGTTTTAAGTTTTAAGACAATCTTGTAAACTTTAGACCGCTCTCTAAAAACGCTTAACCTATCTATATTTTTTTAGGGGTTCTCCCCTTCCTCGCCTTTAAGGCTATATGAGGTTTTCCCGGACCAGGGGGTGTGGGATGGGATTTAAAAGACTCCTGCGTCTCCGGAGCGCGAACTAGTGTCTATTTTTCATTACTTTGTTTCATATATCAGGTTGCAGGAAAATGGCGGTGCTATGCACACACGTTAGCCCGATCGGCCACTCCACCCACTAAAGGATTATAATTAAAAATATATGAGTACTTACCAGAGCGAGAGCGACCTGAAAGGCTAAGAGTCCTAGAAGAAAGAAGCGAACCTTCATCGTGGCCCTTCTGAAGCAGAATGTCCTTAAGAGGGCTTCCGATGACTAATGATCGATTATCAATATTACCGATAGCGTAACAATTTAGATAAGATGCAATTTAACTCATATTATGACTAACCTTCGACGAAGAGTGAGTTAAATCTCTGTTTGAAATGCTATAATGACGTCATAAAAAGATAAGGATATAATGATGGCTAATTATTGATAAGATTTTAATCTTTCAGTATTTTATCTAAAGAGAATGGAATATGGAATTATATTGGACAAATAAAATAAAAATTAATATTAGAACATTTTAAATGATTTTCTCTAAAACAGGAGTCCTCTAACTTTTTTTATATTATTTATTTAATCTTTATTTGTTTCCTTGGAAAGAACCCCATACAAATAGAGTTTATCTTTGTATAACAAACATTATTACCCTTATGGTATTACAAATATTTTTTCTTTTTCTCTTTTATATACTAAATTACAAATATTACAATAATATTACTACAAGAATGCCTTTAAAAGCATATTTGTTAAAATGTCAGACAGTTAAAATAACGCCAATTATTAACAATCATATAAAATCTAAAAACCCTTGTCAAAACGCAAACAATATCAATAAAAATAATAAATATATTTTATTTTTTAAATATTAATAATAATAGACTATGTTTTAAAATTCAATTAAAAGATTGCTTGCACGAACAAAGAAAACAAATAAATAATATTCAAAGGACAGCATTCCAGATTACCCGACGAATTTTCTATAATTCGATATATTAGAAATAAAAATATAATATTCTATAGTAGTTGGCCGAAATATTTTCACCCCATTAAGATTACCTATACGATGGCAAATTCTAACTCTAAAACTATTGTATATTGGGAATTTAAATAATATGTGATAAAGTGTCTCTTTTTCTATAGTAATACACATTTTGCACCCAAGATATGGGGTGAATTTTACAATTTTATTATCAACTGAGACCTTGATAATTTACTTTCACAGAGGTGAATCTGCATTAATAATCTTGTTTATTTGAAGTTAGTCGGCATCAACAAACGCAGTGAGATATGATCTTTATTAAAAATAAGATTCAAATGTTCACAAAAAGTTTTTTTTTTATATTATATAGTAGGCACTTATATTGAAATTATCTAGCGTTTCAGAACTTGTTTAATACCTCTGTGTTATATATTTATTGTAAAACTAATTTTGATTATCGTATTATTATTATCATATAACATACCTGGATTCACCCCATATCTCTCACATCTCCCGACAGCAATTTATAATCTCAACCTATTCCATCGCTTTCGCCATCTTCTACCTCAACATACTCCTGGACTCCTAGTTTCTTCTCTCATGTTCCCCCACTTTGATTACAGCTGTATGGTGTGCCATGGCATCTCGGTGGAGCTCCGTGATAGACTGAAAAGACTACTAGTCCGTGTTTCAGACTCCTTTTTATGAAATTATTAACATCCGCCTGAAACTTCGTAAATAACATTATCTCATTGTAACCTACAACTATTTTATTTACGCAAGTTCTTTGAGTTAGAGCATTTACAATTTGGAGATAGGCAAACTTTGTATATTTAATTAGGTACTAAAAACCCGTGAATACCGCTTTCAACTTCAATTGTAAGATAATTTAAGCACAAAATCGAGAAAAAAGGCCTTAAAAATGTTAAGCCCTTTGGCGTGACCTACATCCTCATAATGTCAAAACAACGAGGTTATATACGCCAAATGGTCCAATATTTTTATAAGTCACCATTTTTCTCGATTTAGTGATTAAATTATCTTACTATCCAAGTGGAAAACAAATATTTACAAGTGGATATTTAGGATTTTTTAGTACCTAATTAAATAGACAAAGTTTGCCAATATTCATCTTCCCAATTCCAAGAGTTTTCGTAAATAAAATAGTTGTAAGTTACGATGAGGTGAAGCTATTTACGAAGTTTCGGGTGGATGTTAATAATTTGATAAAACGGTGTCTGTACCATGGACTATAACGAATAGCTTCGTAAGATTTGTAATTGAGACTTCGAGCTATTCTCATGTCTCTCACCACTACATTGAGTTAAAGTGCGTCTTTTCATCCTTCCGAAGACAATATTTCCTTTATAAGAATATATTTTACCTTCCTAAGGTACGTTCCTCTATCAACAAACATCGTCCTTCTCATGCCTACAACCTTCTTCAGTTCAAGCCCTCAGACCGCACTCTTACCGCAAGATTTAGAACTTCTGACGTTCTCTTCTCGCAAATCGGCCTCATTCTTTTTTTTTTTTAATAATGTATTTATTGAATAATAATACAATCAGCAACTGCTGGAGGACTATAAGTATTAGAACTAAAAGTTCTCATTCATACAATATATACAAATAATAGAGAAATAAATATAAATATAAAAAGTAAATAAATAATACTGATAAATTGATTGAGACTAAAAAGACTCATGAATTGTTTCATAAGATACATTTTCGGGATCCCCAGGCGTTCACATGTTTCACTATGGTACACCGAGTTGAAGTGGCTTTTTCCTACTTTCCGACGACAATTCCTTCTTGGCGGTTTCCTTTTCCATGTCTTCCTACCAAAAACCCTCCCTACATCCTGGAACTCCTTACTCTGCGCTCCTCTATCCACTCTCTCAATACTAGGTCTCAACCTATAGACTTATATATTCCCTCCCATAAAACTTCCTCCTTCAGCAAATCCTTCGTCATTCGTGCTGCTTCCTTATGGAACTCACTTCCTACCTCCATGCGTCAATCCTCATCAACAAATTCCTTCAAACAACTCCTGTCCCAACACCTACTCCACATTCAAACTTCCCCTAACATGTAAAATTACTTGCATCTAAACAATGTTTAATTTCAATCCATTGCACAATTGAAATAACAATTAACAATAAATTAGTTGGTATTTTTACTATGTCAGACTAAGATATATAAATTTGTAACTCTGTTATTATTCTTAGGGGACAGTAGTCCCAGAATAAAATTATTTTTTCATTTCATTTTTTCATAAAGAAAGTAAAAAAAAATAGAAACTTCTAAACACAATCATACAAATATACAATATATACATTCGCCCAGGAATCTCCGAGCCATGCTTTTTTCCCCACATGTGGAACGCAAAGCAAGACTCCAGGAGATCCCAGTACCACTTTTCCAGCCGCATCACTAGTATTAGAAGCCAGTGGAGGCTGAAGCATATTTACAAGAGATCTCTGGGCCACTGCTGTTTTAACCTTCGTGGAGGATTGTAGGGATGAAGTGATCTGGCTGGATTGAACTAGAGGATTTGGATGATGGATAAGGTTCTGGTGAAAGTTTGAGAATCTGGATGGGATGATGTCGAGGACAAATGGGATGTTAAGGTCATGGTGTAGGGTCTTGTTTGTGACATGATATGGGGTATTGACTATTGCACTAAGTACTTTGGATTGGAAGGATTGAATGCGTTTGATATTCGAATGTTTAGCAGTTCAAGTCCGTAGGTCCAGATAGGTTTCAGTATGGTCTTGTAGATTAAAAGTTTATTTTCAATCGAAAGATGAGATGTCCTACTTAGTAATCTATACAGCTGGCCATATCGTCGGTTAATTTCTTGTCTTTTAAGTCTCGTATGTGGGTTCAAAGTTAGCCTTTTGTCTAGAAGGAAGCCAAGGTAACGGACTGTGTCTGAGCAGGGAAGTGGAGTTGAATTAAAACGGATTGGCGGACAGGATCTGCGTCGCAGGGTGAAAGTGATCTGCCTCATTCTAAAATTCTTTTGTTATCCGTTCTGTCAATATCTGGAATTCCCTCCCTTATTGAAATTCGGCATTCAACATTGAAAACCACCCTTTTCCAATTCCTGTCCCAAAAATAATCAGATTCCTCCCAACCTTTTGAGAATAATGGACGAAAATAGTAGCTTAACTTATACTAAGCTGTCGATATATTCGTTAATATCTACCAATATTCACCCAAAGTCGTTGGAATTTAACTCAACATATCTTATCTCAGCTTCTTATATTAGGAAATATAAAATGGGATGAGCAAGTGACTTTGTAATGTGTTACAAAATCGATGAGTTATCGATAAATAAAACTGCTTGATAAATAACCACTTTCTTTCTCGTTAATGTAAATGATTTGGCTATTTTAAGGGAAATCTAAATTTGGATTCACTGTTGTATGAAAAAAAAGTTAATAGCTTTTATTTTTTTTTTTTGTAAAAATAAATTTAGTAAATTTTGTTTATGTGTGTGTTATTTCTTTCCACGTATCTGAACACAGCTCTATGCAATTTATTGCATGAAACTCTTTGCTGGTTCGATCTATCCATCTTGTTTTTGGACTTCAAGATGATGAGGCATTCATTACTGTGAAGTGGCCTCCTGGTGGATGCTCCAAGCTACAGGCCCCGCCCATCCTAACATCCTTGCCTAACATCCGTATCATATGATATTGATTGACCAGTATCTGTAAAAAGCTCTGTATTGATCTTTCTTTTTCATGTTTTAGTACTCTGATCCCACATCGTTACGGTTTGATGAATTTTCCCTTTGTGAAATTCCAACATTATCATGTCTTCCTCTAAAGTACCTTTAATTTGGTTTATTATAAATAATAACTATTTATCATTGTTAGAATATATGGGAAAAATGCTAAATATAACATTTAGAAGAATTGGATAATTAAATAAAATAGAAAAATACTTAACCAGGTTGAAAATAAATAGTCAGAAGTAATACGTATAATATATCGTTGAAAAGCGGAGAATTAAAAAAAAACACTTGTAAGGTTACTTGAGCAACCTTTAAACACTTCAACTGTTACTCATCTTTAAATCAGATGTTAATGATTATTTATTAGAAAATACCTTCTTGTATTGTTATATTGGATTAGTGGTAGAATTAACTTGTGTTGTAATAACGTGTAATTAAATTCTTTTACTTTAATTGAATAAATCACGTCTATAAAATATCTTAGACACTATATAGAATATAGAGAGTTGTAGAAGATAACGGAAAGTGACGAAAAAAATATAAATAATAATTTCTAAAAACTAACATTACTTAACGTAAATCACGCGTTTTCAAGGAAATTAAATGAAATTTTCTTACTTAATGTAAACTTTTTAGAAAATTAGTGAATAATTTGATGAATTTTCCCTTTGCGATATCCCAACAGTATTCACTTACAATTAGTGTGACAACTTTTGACCTGTCTATGACAGACAATGCAAATCCCTTAATTCCGTTTTAATAAACTTTTGCAATGTAAAATAACAGTTTAATAACTAATAGTCGTACAATCTAGAATCAACTGATCTTTCGTTATTTTAATGGTATTTTAGATTTGTTAGCTGTAATCTTAAAGCTTTAGCTCGGTTAAATATACATTTAAGAAATTGTATAATAGCCCAACATTGTCAGAAAATAATTTCTATTAGAGGGGTAAATGAAAGTTGTGTGTTGCGCGCACCAGATTTTTTATTTTACAAAAACAGGCTCCCAGTCATATAGCATGTACCGGGCCCCCCAAATATTGTACAAACTACTTGGATACTGGAGGCAGTTTGGTACCTTTCTTATTATCGCAGACACTAAATACATAAACTTACCTACATGTTCAAATATATTTCCTTCAATATCTATAGCACTGAAATCGTCGCCATTTTTGTTGCTAACCAAATATTTTGTCTTACCCATACTTATTTCAAGCTCCACGTCTTAATTGCCTTTCATCATCCTTGTTGTATTTAGTTTTATTGTTTTAGTGTCTTCGCTTAATAGTACCAAATTATCAACATACCCAAACACGGATATTGTTACATACAGGTTCAAATATTTTTCGGTATATATCACATCTCTAATGCCAAATCACCTTGTTTCAAGCCTGATCGAACCTAAAATTTCGCGGATAAATAAACTTCAAAAATTATTAATATAAATTCGGTTATAAATTACCGAAGATATCTCGATAAATTTATTTGTATACTAGGTGAATCTTTTTTTGAGATGGATTTTGTGTTATGAGGGAGAGAATCCAAAGATTTTATAAAATTGGGTGGGAGATTAATTTTAATTTTAAAGAGTTTTTTTCTGATTAAGCCGTTTGGTTAATCCTAAAAATGTATAGGACAGGACAACATTTGTTAGTCTCGGAATCGAATGACACCTTGAATGGAAAAGTTCAAAAATTGAGTGTGGTTTAGCCGTATTTAAAGCGACAACGCGTTAAAGATGTTCGCGATTTCGATTTTTCCCGTTGAGTTGTGATAATTTTTTCCATCAGTTGAATAATACAACTTTTAAATGTGGCTCGCGGTAGAGTAGGTTGGGATGAGTTACCAAATAACTTTGGTCCTAACTAATATTTACTTTTTAATTTAAAGCCTATATTTTAAGTCAAGCAATCCTTAATATAATGTCAAAATTTCAAACGTGTACCATTAGCCATTACTGAGCTTACCCGTGACAAAATTTGGTTGGACAATGCGGACATACAGACATACAATTTTTTCATAGTGGATTTGGTGTCTGTAATGAATGAAACGTAAGATATCATGAAACGGATTGATTCTATTCAATGTACAGACAAAACCTTTCATTTTATTCATATAGATTATCTGACAGATGAACAATGGCCACTTCTAATCGGACTCAAAGTCCTCGTCTTCTAGGTTGGGGACCGTCCCTCCAAAGCGTAAGATCTGTTCTTCCAGCATCTTCATCAGTTCTATCTTCTTCTCCTTTAGTTCTTTCTTGTCTTTTGGCAATGGTTCTTCTTCGAAACGTTTCTCCAGGCGTTTGGAGAAGGAATCCCTCGACTTTTCGATCAAATCATAGGTTTCATCAGGAGAGATCTTGATCCCGAACGTATCGTAGACCAATTCCAAATCTGGCGTTGGCACGATTTCAGGACAATATTTCAGAAGATTGTGTATTGCAAAGGCCAATTTCGAAGATCGTGGTCCCATTGAGTAGCTTTCTGCCAGTCCATCGACTGATATCTTCCCGTTTACTTCTGGTGACATCTCTGCTATCATTTCTGAAGCACTTGCGTCGTCGTACCTTTCTCCCATTCCTTTCTTCAAGAATTCTTTGAAAGTTGATACGTGTATCTTGCCATCACCGTCGGGTTCCAGTGACTGGAAGAATTGGCGATACTTTTCCTTAGAATTATCTTCTAATGTTACAGACTCCATTGATACAGTTTGAGAAAATCTACCTAATATTTTAAAGTAAAAGAAATATTACATTACATAAAAACATATGTTAAAACTCATTTGAACGGTAAAAATAAATAAAAATAAAATATCAGGCTGTAGGAAAAAACAAAACAAGCGTGTCCTGAAGAACAGATTATTCTTACATATTTACTTAAAGACATTCATGGATTATTAATGAAGTATATATTGAAACTTGCTATAATATTGGGATGATTTTCACTGCCGAAAGAATCTTCTGATATCAATTTACTTTCTATATGGTTACACTCCCAGACGAAATCTAATTGTGAGTTGTAACTTGCAGTATAAAGGCACATGACTACTACACTACACTATGTTTTAATATCAACTTCACTAAGAACACACCAATGTTGTTTAGAAGATATGGATAGATTAGATTAAAATATATTCAGTCACCAATTAAAATATTTTTCTTAAATTAAAATATTCCAACCTTAAGTTTTCCAAATATCGGAAATTCAAATTCATAACATATGATATGAATCTAACAAGAAAATAAGAATACTTAAAATATAATACAATATTTTTTCAGTATTTCGAACTCTAATAGATCTCATCTCTAATGGAACTATTTTACATGAAAATCACTCCGAACAATGTCATTAATAATTTCAATAATAATCCAGATGCATACCCCTCTATAATAAACTTCAAAAATATTCCAACCCACTCGTTTCTAACTTTGCTTCCTCTTCAATTCCTGATAACCCTCCAAGCCATCTGAATAGAAGATGGCTCCGTGATCTCCTAATGTAAGCATATAGAGTGCTACCAATGGGTAGTTTTTCAAAAATTGTTGTCATGTCATTATAACCATTCATACATATCTACTAATTTACTAGAAGTGTTTTTTTTAATACCTTTGTAGATATCATGAATAAATCAAAAAACAGTGATGATGTTTCATCAATATATCATATATACTGGACATCGAGTAAATATACCTATGTAACGAAAAGACAACCTTATATTCAGGAGTTAAATAGAGTATTTTGATTATATGTATTTTTTTAAAAATATTGCAGTATTCGCTTCAAGTTTGACATTTGTTTAAACTGGGTTGATTTATAATTGGGTTGATTTAGAATATGTATATTAAAACAAAAGCATGAATGAGTATGATTCTCATTATAATTGTTATAAGGGAATAAAAATATCCAGAGGCTTAAACGTTTCGACTTGGCCATCGTTTAGAATTTTTATGATAATTGTGAACTAAATAAAAAATTGCTATCTAAATATTTGAGCTGATTCCGTTGACTTCTCATTATCGTTTTCGTTAATAATTTTTTGCCAGTTGTAATTAGTCACTTTTTTTCTTTTATCTTCAAATTCGTAAAGCTTTTTCTGTTTTATTTAATTACTTCGAATCTACGTGTTCCGACCATCAGAATCGTCCTGTAATTTAAAAACCAGACAGTTGTAAGCCAAAAAAAAGTTGGATTTAATTTAAAAATATCTGGTGTGTCCACTCACTCGACTTTCCTACCTATTTCAAAAAAAAGTTTTTATATCTTTACATATGTTCATGAAGAAACAAAAAAGAATTGGATTGATTTGAGTACGATTTATTTGATAAATTAAGGCAATGTAAACCGGCTTAAGATAGATCAGTGTAAAAATGTCAATACTTCCTCAAATTGCTGATCAAAAACTTTTTGGCATAGCTTAGTATTGTCAAACAGTAATTTCTGTTCAAATTAAAGGAAATAGTGAAGATTGTGTGATGCGGGCAACAGATTTTTTTACTTTCACTTAGTCATCTTTATTATCTCATTTACCCTTTTCTGACACCAGGATATTTTTTATTTATTTATTTTAAATGATATTTACAACTGTATACAAAAAATACATCTAGTAAATTTGCACATTGGTATAAAGACATGGAACACATGTTGAGAAACTACCCATTGGTAGCACTCTAATAATATGTCTATATTAGAAGATCACGTGGCCTTCTTCTTTTCAGACGCCTCGGAGGGTTATCAGGAATCAAATAGGAAGCGAGGTTAGAGACAAGAGGGTTGGGATGGTTATGAAGTTTATTATGGAAGGACAGATATCTGGATTGGGCCAAATCTGATACATAAGGAACATTAAGGTCATTATGGATAATTTTATTTGTAACAAAGTAAGGAGCATTGAGGATTTTACGAAGGATTTTGGATTGCAAGGACTGTATGCGAGAGGAATTTGAAGGCTTGGTGGAGCCCCATAGCTCAACCCCGTAAGTCCAAATAGGCCTTATTATAGTCATGTAAATCAGTCTTTTATAATTGATTGGAATGTTAGAGCGTTTGTCTAGTAAGTGTTGAAGTAGTCGGAAACGTCGAGCGGTTTCTTGTCATTTCAGTCTGGTATGAGGATTCCAAGTTAGACGTTTGTCCAGATGAAGTCCTAGGTAACGGATTTGTTCAACAGGAATAAGTGAGGTGTTGTTAAAGGATACTGAAGGGCAGGAAGTCATTAACACCAGGATATGAAACCGTAATCTTACATTGGAAATTGAATAGCTGTAACTTCGTTAATAATTGTCCAAAATGAACGATTTGTATATGGCTTTGTAGGGAATTTCATTGCCTTTCAAACGACATACAGATAGACCAATGTCTAAAAATGGGTTTTTCGGACTCAGGGGGCTGTGAAACGTATAGATCCGTCGAAAACCGCATATCGGAAATTTGACTCGATTGCAATACTTTCCTTACTTAGTATAGGTAGGAAAGTAATAAGTTAAAAAATGTGTAAAAAATAGAATAAGCTGTATCATCGCTAATACTGGTTCGATTCCTATGATTTTTTTTTTTGTTGGTAATGTGATTACCTTTCAAAAGTACTATTATAAATTTTACCGTATAATATATACTTAGTGAGTTAGGCCCCAAAACATTTTTCTTTTCTTTATAACTTTTTTTCCTGATTGTTTTCGGGAATTCACTCTATAAACGAAAGAACAATGATTAGAACATTATAGGAAAGTTTCATCAAAATCGTTAGAGCCATTTTTGCGCTACAGTCTATAGAAAAACATGTTTTTCATTTATTGCGCGCAAGCTATTGCGCATGGAGCACCGAATTTCTGTCACAGCCATCAGTAGTCCAAACCCTACAAAATAAAAAAAGAAGCGACAAAATCGGTTTAGTAGTTCCCGAGAAAATCTTGGCACAGACAGACAGACAGACCAATGGTTAAAAATGTGTTTTTCGGACTCTGGGGGCCCCGAAACGTATAGATCCGTCGAAAATCGCATGTCGGAAATTTGATCCGATTGCAATACTTTCCTTACCTAGTATAGGTAGCAAAGTAAAAAGAGCTGCTATCAATTTATTTTTATTACAGATAGAGAAATTTTGTAATCATTTAATTTTTTGGTTTAAGGTTAATTTAATTCAAATAAGATAAAAAATAAATAAATAAGGTTTTACAGACTTTTTCATTTATATTTAAAAAAAACAAACTTATTTTTATAAACCTTTTAAAACGATTTACGTTCTACAGAACAAACTTCAATTGACTTGCACCAACCTCGATAAGTTACGCCCATAGCAACCTGCTCGCTGTCGTGACAGTAGACGTTGCTAAAAATAAAAATAAACGTACGTTGTTTGGCTTGAGGTTTAACGTTTATAAAAGACAATTGAATTAAAACAAAAAATCCCAAGCTTACAATATATTAAGTTAAGAAAAGAGAACTAGATTTTTTTCAAATGAAAATGAAATCGTTGACCCTGTGATCATGAATACGCATGTAGATGAGAAATAATATTTCGTATATATTCGTCGGATGTATAATTAATAAAATTATGAATAAATATGATCTCATTAAAATTGACTATTTATTCAATATATTGTGGATTATGTTTATTTTCCTTACGATCAAATTAAAAATACATCATAATGTGTAAAATATAATAAATAGAGGTTGTTTTTAGGTTAGTGGTCCTTCAGCTGTTTATATAGTGGTACCAGAAAACAGATGAGAGCAACATCATTGCCTGGTGCGGAGTTGAACCCTCGTTGCACAACGTCGTAGTGCAAACGGAACATTCGGTCACGTGACCTTGTCTGAACTGTTTTTCCTGTTCGCAGGTGTTGGCAGTACACTTCCTGTACATGAATGCAGAACTCCCAGCTAAAAAAAAAAATCACAAATAAAACATTGATTAAAAATTAAAAAAAAAAAAAAAAAAAAATCAATAATTATTTACTAGTAGACCCGTGCGAAAAATTCGTACAGCATATTGTTAAGTGATCAAATGCCAAATTAAAATAAAATAAAATAATGAAACGTATCATAAGATAAAGAAATCAATTGTTACTTTATCGATAAATATATTCGACAAAGCAAAAAAAAATTAATTTCCGATTAATTAATTAATTGTCCGATTTAGATGATTTTTTTTTCCTTTTGAAGGGAATTTAGTAATCTTTTATATAACCATCACCAAGAGAAAAGTGTGTAATTTTTTAGTTATTCGCAAATAAAGTTACTTTTCTTTCATAACTTGTTTGCCTGAATTTTCAAGATGATTGGACTATTTGGCCCGCGAGGAGGAAACCTTCAAAATTGGTGACTCAATCTCAATCATTTCATGAATAATTAACGATGATATGGCTTGCCAATCAAAAACACTATCCATAAATAATACAAACTTCTCCTCTCTCGATCATAAGGACCTCTAGTCGAAGAAATGAGACATTCATTCCATGACAGTACTACAATTAAATAGAAATAGAAATAGAAAATAACTTTACTCTGGGACAAAGTCCCTTTAGAATAACAAAATAGAACATAATTAAAATACTACGTCTGGCCAAAATAGAACGATAATAATAAAGAGAAAGTAAAGAAAATATTAGTTAAACAAGCTATATACAACAGAAAAAAAATCTATATACAAAACACTTTAGACTATGTACAGTAGGAAAAATTATAATTATACTCTTTTGAAAAATAAAATAATAAAAAATACATTGAGTTCTTCTTTAATTAACGTAAGGTTGTGTGGATGCGTATCCTTTGCCTTACTTTATCTCGAAAATTACCTCTTTCGGCTTAAAAATGCAGGGCCCGATAGTTCCGAAGAAACTATCCGGATCTTGCTGTACGCATCAAAATCTTCAAAGCCCAATTTGTATTGTTGCCCAAAATCGCTCTTGCAAGGCCGCCTAACTGTTGCAAGACCAAGACCAAGACTGGTAAAAAAAGTCGATTTTTAAAATAAAAATTAAGGGAAAATAGTTACTATTACTTGACAATCTTAGTTACTATATGTTAATAATTGATATAGCCAATATACTTTTGCTTTTAACTCCTCTAATTTTTCATTTGGGCTTAGTTAGGTTTCTCCTATCTTAAAAATTACAGTAATATATCTATAGTGATAAGCTAAGTAACTGAAAGACTGTTGCGAGACTCTTGGGCAAGACCAAGACCAATATAATGACTGAGTGCGCAAGACTAGTCTTGGTATCGCATTCGGGCAACACTATTGGTGAGAGCGAGGATCCCTGAGGAACACAGCGAGTCAGTAAGACGGGGAAGGAAGGAGTTTTATCAGAAATGATGGTTGTTCTGGAATCTGTGATACAAGAAGAAATGGTAACACCTTAGGAAGCTATTTGATATGGAAAGATAAGACGGGGGCGGGGTGGCCGAATGGGCTAAAGCGTGTGCACTGCACCGCGAGTTGCCTGGCAACCGGATAAGAGATTTGAGATTTTAAAAAAAGTATGAGTTCGCATCCCGGTGCTGGAGAGGATTTTAAATTCCCCGCCCCCTCAACCTCAGGCGAAAATCCCGTATAGCCTAAAAGGCGAGGTAGCGAAGACCCCCCCCCCCAAAAAAAAAAGAAAAAAAAAGATAAGACAAATGAAGCAAACGATGATTATTTGGCATGAAAGAAGCTCTCAAACAGGTAATTTTCAAAACATCGGCTACCAAAATCACGAATGATGAAAATTGAGCAGGATAATGGAAATGGCTTTGGTTCTTAATGAATTCAATCTCTGACAATAAATAAGCAAGATAAATATATAGTCTTTTGTCAATTTTTTTTCTAAGCAGTATTTTAGTTAATTATTGATGGAAAATCCCGTATAGCCTAAAAGGCGAGGTAGCGAAGACCCCCCCCAAAAAAAAAAAAAAAAAAAAAATAAAATAAATAAAAAATGGAAAGATAAGACAAATGAAGCAAACGATGATTATTTGGCATGAAAGAAGCTCTCAAACAGGTAATTTTCAAAACATCGGCTACCAAAATCACGAATGATGAGAAATTGAGCAGGATAATGGAAATGGCTTTGGTTCTTAATGAATTCAATCTCTGACAATAAATAAACAAGATAAATATATAGTCTTTTGTCAAATTTTTTTCTAAGCAGTCTTTTAGTTAATTATTGATGGAAAATCCCGTATAGCCTAAAAGGCGAGGTAGCGAAGACCCCCCCCAAAAAAAAAAAAAATAAAAAAAATAAAATAAATAAAAAATGGAAAGATAAGACAAATGAAGCAAACGATGATTATTTGGCATGAAAGAAGCTCTCAAACAGGTAATTTTCAAAACATCGGCTACCAAAATCACGAATGATGAGAAATTGAGCAGGATAATGGAAATGGCTTTAGTTCTTAATGGATTAAATCTCTGACAGTAAGCAAGCAAGTTAAATGTATCGATAACAGACAATTTAAGATAAATTAAAATTTTAATGTGAACCACAGCTTTAGTTCTTACAATGGATATTTAATTGACAGAAAATTTAGTCTTTTGTCGATTTTTTTCTAAGCAGTCTTTTAGTTAATTATTGATGGAAAAACTTTTATAAAAAAGAATTTTTGACAGCGTATATTGTACTAGTAATAGACACCCATAATATCAAATGGTTTTTCATATAATTGAAAAAAAAATAAAAAATAAATTTTGCATAGATTTAAACTAAGTAAATTGAATGAAATAAAATTTCAAATATATCTCCTAAAGTCCTAAAGAAAAGTAATAAGGAAGCCTCCCTCAAGCAAAGCCTTGCTCTATTAAAAACTTAACTACCAATTGGCTATTGTCATTTGAATATCACTTGAGGTTTAAGTTCTAAGTGGTCTACCTGCAATCTTACTCATATTATAACAATACAATCTATTTTAACGTATAAAGCTTTTTTTTTTTTAAACTTTTTTTATTGAATATTAATACATTCTGCCACATTGAAGGGCATTAATATTAAGGCTACATGATTCATTCACACAATATGTACATACAATTAATATCAATAATAAAGATAAAGAAATATAAAAAAAAAAATAAAATAAGTAAATTGGTATGCCTGTGTACAAAAAAAAAAATGAAATAATAGATAAAAGCTAGATGAAATTAAAGCAAATAAATCACATTCACACCTATGTACAATATTTACATTCACCCAGGGGACTCTGAGTCATGCCTTATTCCCCGACGTGGAAGCCAAGGCTCCAGGAGATCCCAGTGCTTCTCTCTCAGCCGCGACACTGTTATTTGAAACCATGTCTCATGTCTTGAGTGGAGAATTTGGCTATTGCCAGTACTCCAATATATACATATTTACAAAAGGTCGCGGGGCCACTGCCGTTTTAGCCTCCGGGGAGGATTGTAGGGATGGCTGGAGCTAGATAGGGATTGTGCTACAGGATTTGGATGATGAATGAGTTTCTGGTGAAATTTGGAAAAATTTTCTTGGATTAGGTCAATAACAAATGGCATATGAAGGTCATTATGGAGGGTTTTGTTGGATACATAGAAGGGAGCATCGACTATTGTTCGGAAGATTTTAGACTGGAAGGATTGAATGTGTTTGATGTTAGAAAGTTTTGCTGTCCTCCCACAGTTCTATTCCGTAGGTCCAAATAGGTTTCAGGATTCTCTTGTAGATTAATAGTTTGTTGTCGACTGAGAGTTGAGATTTTCTATTCAATAGTCTATATAGTTGTCCGTATCGTCTGTTAAGTTGTTGTCTTTTAAGTCTGGTGTGTGGGTTCCATGTTAGTCTTTTGTCTAGAATAAAGCCAAGATACCGGACTGTGTCGGACAGAGGAAGTGGTATGGAGTTGATGTAGACTGTTGGACAGGAATTGCGTCGAAGGGCAAAAGTAATATGTTTGGATTTGGATTCATTTACTTGGATTCGCCACTTATTACACCAGTGTTCAATAAGAGAGAGGTGACTTTGTAGGTTTAAGGATGCTATATAGAGCTTATTAATGAGTTGAAAACTGTCTATTATTGGTAGTGTCTATTATTTTTATATCTTACCTGTTTCTACTAACTTGATGCAGTATTTCTTATCCGGAGTGCAATCCTTCACGAGGAAGTTGAGCTTTCGGAAATCATCGCCGCAGAGCCGGCTACTCACCAAGCTGGTGCAGGTGTAACATTTCTTGGGATACGTCTCCTTGCATTCTACAACTAAATACATTTATTTATATAGTTCAACAGCCACGAAGAACTCACGCGGCACTAAAATAAAACATCTTGTTTTACCCTAAGCCAATTATAAAATATTCACAAAAAAAAAAAAAAAAAAAACCTGTACCACTACAACCCATTAAGGTTCATGCTTTCAGTACTAATTAGGGAAAGTAAACTGTTTCTTGGTCTATGGTTGTGTAAGGATGTGATTTGATCGAGATCACGCTCAACCATCAGGTTTCTCCCTTAATTAATTATTTTAATTAAGGGTACCCACTTTAGGTTGGGTGTGCACCAAAAGAGTCTACCTACCCAGGGTCGCCCCACAGCCAATGAAACAGAATAAATAATTTTTCTGCCACGAGCCGGGATTCGAACCTGGGACCTTTAGCATTAGAAGCTCAGTACTCTACCACTGAGCTTCCCCCAGTCCTTAAAAAATATTCACAAATAAATACAAATATAGAAACGTACTGTTGAGCTCTTATAATGTATGTAAATATATTTTTGTATTGAGAAATAATACATTTTGCCACACTCAAGGACACTGAGTTCTACAGCTGAGTTAGGCACATTCATACCATATATACAATACAATAAAAAATAAATAAATAAAAAATATATATCTATCTAACAAAGGCGAAAATTATAATAAAACCAAAGAAATGTAACTTGAAGTTGAAATTAAATAAAATACCTAAATCCATAGTAAAAATAAATAAATTATAAGTAAAAGAAATAAATTTTAAAAAAATCTGTACCGCTACAACCCATGAAGGGTCTAGGATTCAGTACTATTTAGGAGAAGTACTGTTTCAAGGCCAACAGTTGTGCAGAGAGGGGATCGGGCCAGGATCACGCTCAATCTCCAGGTTTTCTCCCTTGATCAATTATTTAATTAAGAGTACCAACTTTGTAGACGCCCCACCGCCAACGAAACAGAATAGATATTTTTTCTACCATGTGCTGAGATTTGAACCTGAGACTTTGAGCATTGGAAGCTTAGTGCCCTACCAGCCCTTTCCCCCTCGTGTGAAGGACAATGCGAGACTCTAAGAGATCCCAGCGCTTCTCTTTCAGCCGCGTCACCGGTATTTGAGTCCAGTGGAAACTGAGAGAGGGCACTAAAGCCACATACGCTCATGACTTGAGTTGAAAAGCTGCTCATTGCCAGGTCTCCAATGACGTCTTTACAAAAGATCTCGAGGCTACTGCCGTTTCAACCTTCGAGAAGGGTTGTAGGCAGGACTGGATTAGGATTGTTCTAAGGGCTTAGGATGGTGGATTTGGTTCAGGTAAAAAATCGTTAATCTCAAGATACTCGATGTTAAGTCAATGAAACAAATAGATTTTTGTATAACTAATTTTCTTTTTAATTCAATATTTTTCTATATTTATAATAATCAACTTTCTTAATATTATTTTTCCATTGCTTCAGTGACCTTGAAGTTCTATAATAAACATTGCATTACAGATGATCAAAAACTCTTTTAGATTATGTAATCAGATTAGGCGAAGCTTGGAATATATTTCTTATATTTTTTTTTATTGAATGAGGCAGCATTAAGTAGTTTAAAATCCATTCAAAATCGACTCAATTCGGTTTTCTTAATTAAAAAAAAAAAAAGGGGTTTTATTTACCTTTACACTGTTTCTCAATGCACTCTCTATATCACTTTTAAAAAAAAATCTGGTATTTTCTGAAATATTTTTGAAAAAGGACATAACGATTTTAAAATTAATCAGTTCAAGTAGTCTCCAGAGTTCGTATATTGGAACCGAAGTGCACTCAACAATATCACGAAACAAAAAAAAAAAATAAAATAAATAAAGAAAAGAAAACACTCCTAGAAGTATTTAAGCATTTATAAAACTATTTGGAAATAACCTCCATATCTGAACTCACTATCAAAGTATAGGCCTTCATTGAAAGTTCTGGGCCAATATAGAAAAAAAAATTACTATCAGCTAGGAAAAAAATGGACTTACTCGTAGGAAAATAAACACTGAGCTGGACGAATATAAGTATGCCTGTTATCAGGATCATCGGTGAGGCTAAGCGTGCCTAAGGCGATAATGTTGTTATCAACAAGACATCTGTTGGAGAGGGAAAGGTTACATTTTGGTTACTTACAAAACTAGTTATCAACATGTTTATGATAAGATATTCATTGATGAATTACTTTAAATTAATCATGGATTTATATATCTACAGAATATTGCCAAAGATTGTAAAGTATATAGGGCATGATTTGATAATAATAGCCTAGGATCATATCTTAATGAAGATCGATAATTTTTGTGTTGTTATTAATCTATACTATTATAACCCTTTAGAGAATTTCGTACAAACCATAATAAGTTTGTAAGAACCATATTTCATATATTTATACAAACTATAAATTATAATATCCACCAATGATGATAGAAGCAAAACACATTGTATATTCGACTTTTGAAATCGTTCAACAAACAAAAAGTTCAATTGAATATTTAATAGTTGACCGTTGCATTATAGAGGAAGGAGATGGTCAGGATAGCGGTCGTAAATAATCTGTCGAAGTGGGGAAATATTAAGGAGGTGACAAGGAGTCTACGGATTTCAAAAGGAAAAAGGTGTCGCCTTTATAGTACAGTGAATGAACATGTTTACATAGACATTTTAAAAAGAAAATTGAAATAAATTGTCAAAAATTTGAAATAAAAAACATATTTCGTTTACACCAGGATAGTGACCCCAAACACCCTGCCCTGTTAGCTAAGGAATGGTTTCTTTATATCTGCCTCAAAGTTATAGAAACAACACCAGATCAACAGATCTTAACTTGATAGAACACTTAGGAAACACGCAATCTATAGCAAAAACATTAAAAACTATCTACTCAAAGAATGGGAAAGACAGCCGGAATCGCTAAAAAAATTATCTACTCCATTACAAATAGAAGAAAAAGAGTGGTAGAAAATAATGGCTTGCCTACAAGGTATTGAACTAAATTAATAATATTTCAAAGTTAATAAGAAGTGAGGTGTGTTAATAAGAAGTGTATAATTTTGATTTAGAGGTAAAATTGTCAAGTTTTTATTATTTTTTTTAATAATCAGAGTTGAATATTCTAATTTGATTAAGTTTGTACATATTTAAAATGAGATTATCAATAAATCTGTTGAAGAGTTTCTGGTTTTATTTATTTACTGTTACGATTAAAGTTTTTTTCTTCTATTTGTCTATGGGATGTATCAATTTCTCTGTGACCCACTATATCCGGATAATATTGGGAAATTATACACTATAATTGTATGAAATACAAAAATCGAATGATATTGATTTACATGATGTGTAATAATTCACAATTATTATTTTGAAACATTTAAGAATCAATCTTTAGAACAATTTTATGATAGCGAGAATGATTTTAATTGACAAATACTGGAATGTTTAAGAAAAAGAAACAACCCATTATTTTTTTCTGTCTTCTCCCACGCCTTTCCTAGCATGGGAAGGAGGAGGGAAGAGGGATTATGCTAGAGGTGACCAACCAGAATAGCAAGGTCGAGATTCATTCTATGTAAATGCCATGAGTTAATTTTTCACTTTAATGAATTAATTTATTTTTATAATTAATATTAAATAATTCAAAAACAAAACAACGTATAACAGCACAAAATAAAAAAAAAAATATTAGAGTCAACAAAATAAAAAACAACAAATTCAACATTGCAACTATTAAAATGAAAAAATTATAAATTAGGAACAGTTACAGTAAAATAGGAACAATAAAATAAAAATACAATTAATGTTATAACTTAAAAAAAATACAGTAAGGTTACAAATACATTATTGGTTGTAAAATTTTATAATAGTGATTTTAACAGTGTACCATATAATATAGAGACAATTGAAATATCATCTGGTCATACTTTATTTTATTAGTTACTCAGTGCTTTTGATTGTTCAATGGATAATGGATTGTAAAACAATTCTTGTTTTAGGTAAGATTTAATATTTGTCTTGTAATTAAGTATTTTGTTGATATAAAATTAATAAACTTGTTTTATAATCGTTTAATTCCTTTGATTGAATAATAAAATGAAGTAAAAATTGATTGAGAATAATTGAAAACATTTTAAACATATAGCCTTATGTTTCCAAAATGCAGGTAAAGAAAAAAAAAAAAAAAAGCTGTCAACGTTCAGCAAATTGAGGCATCGTAACGACAGAAAAAACAAAAAACAAAGATCAGCTGATTCCATGACATCCAACCAAATACACTTTACATAAATGCATTTAAGTTTCCATTAGAAATCAAGTTTCAAGAAAGGAGGAAGAATAAATAAAAAATATAAACTTAAATACTAATTTAAAAAAATAAACTGAAAAAAATATTAACAGATTCAAGTTAAAAATGAACATTTTATGAGGTTACAAATATAGTTGAAATTGCATTACAAATTTAACAGTAAAATTATCAATTAAATTTAAAATTTATTGATTATATTTTTGTAAAAGTACTAAAACTTTACTAATTATTTTTTTTAATGATTGGAATCCAACCAATGGGTAGTTTCTTAACATGTTGTACATTTGCATTTAATAATAATAAGAATAACAATAAAAGGCTTAGCGAACCCAAAGGTTCGATACCGACACCACCATTCTCTTATTACACACATTTTAAGTTCCGGGACAAGAGGCACGAGCTAAGTAGTTTTGTCACAGAAAAATAACAATCATTTCCGGTCTTCAGCCTAACCTTAATCTCTTCTTCAATTTCGTTTTTTCTAGTGATCATAGACCGTAGATACCTAAATTTCTCTGTCTGTTCAAACACACTACCACCTATATCGATATCACCAGTAATATCGCCATTTTTGCAGCTAACCATATATTTTGTCTAAACATTTGCATATTACTATTGCAAAATTTAATAGTTACGCAAAAAACAATTTAGGTATTTTGTTTTTCTTTAGAAACTGCATAAATTATTTTAATAATGAAACAACTAAATATCTTTCATCCATTTTCTAACCAAAAATGAGGAGACGACTTCGGTAACGGTGTTTTGCTGCTCAAGTTAAAAAAAAATATGGAGAAGGGATTACTGATAGTGCAGTGACCCCCTTAGGCCAGCGGGCCGGCCCCATCTCGATCAGGCCCAGATGATGGTGATGTCATTTTTTACAATCCCCCGGGCCGTTGCTCCACTTCTAGCCCTAGAGTTGACGAAGGGGGATTAGTGAACGTAAGGAGAAAATACGTCTAGGCTTGTCAGTCTATTTTGCTTTTGGTTTTTCAATAATGAATCTATGTAGAATAAAAATGTACATTATAAAAAAAATTAACCATTCTCAAAATTTAAGATTTTACATTTCAGTTAACTATAATCCAAAAATAGAATAAGTATTTTAATATATTTATAGGCCTTATTAATTATAAGGCCTATTTGGACTTACGTAGTTGAGCTATAGGGCTCCACTAAACCATCGAATTCCTCTCATATCCAATCCTTACAATCCAAAATCCTTCGTAAAATCCTCAATTCTCCCTACTTTGTTACAAATATAACCATCCATAATGACCTTAATGTTCCTTTTGTTTCAGATCTGGCCCAATCCAGATACCTGTACTATATAGTTTGTGCATCTAATTCTTATATATTTCTTATTTAATTTTTATTAATTAAAAGTTCAATTTTAACTTAAGTTTGCTTAAATTTTACAGTTTTCCGGCAAGGTGATATGGGGACGAGTTGGTACATGATACTTGCCGGAAAGGTTGAAGTCAGGGTCATCCAAGACAAGTTAAGTCAGTATTCATAATCTTTCTTCATAACTTGAAACTTTTAAAACTTAAACATACGAAAACCAATCAGGGTTCTTGTTTATTGAATTATATTCTAGTGAAAATAGAAATAATGAATGAAATGTCAGCCTCAGGTAGTATTTTTTGTTTCATAACTTATTTATTGAGAAATATTACGATATGTTTCAAAGGACATTTATAACAGTATTCAGAGATCACACTCACACTTTAAGTACCAATAAATATACTAGACTGAAACGACAATAAATCGCTCGACGTTTCCGATTACTTCAGCACTTACTAGACAAACGCTATAAATCTGTAATTAATTACAAAATACTCATATACATGACTATAATAAAGCTTATTTGGACTTACTTAGATGAGCTATGGGGCTCCACTAAACCATCGAATTCCTCTTGTATCCAGCCCTTACAATCCAAATTCCTCCGTAAAATCCTCAATGCTCCCTACTTTGTTACAAATAAAACCATCCATAATGAGCTTAATGTTCCTTTTGTTGCCGATGTGGCTCAATCCAGATACCTATCCTTCCATAATAAACTTCAGAATCATCCCAACGCTCTCGTTTCTAACCTTTCTTCCTCTTCAATTCCTGATAACCCTCCGAGTCGTCTGAAAAGAAGATGGCCCCGTGATCTCCTAATGTAGACATATCATTAGAATGCTACCATTGGGTAGTTGGGTAGTTAGATGTATCTATTTATTACAGTTGTAAATGTCTTTAAGAAATTAAAAAAAATATATATATATTTATTAAAATTTACGAATTCTTGAAGGAAGTTGTCGACTGTTTTACGTATAATGGGTGATAAATATTCAGGACGCAGTCTTTTTAAATCGTTTCAACCCAAACATGTGGGTCATTTTCAGGCCTGAAATTTTTTAAAAATACAATCTGCGATATAATACTATACGACCGATAATGATAAATAATGAACAATAGTGATTTAGTTTATGGTAAATGAATCTTAACTAATATTGCAATACACATATTAAAAATGAAATATGTAAATTCGTAATATTTTCTCTTACTAACGGTGGTTTGAGCAGTGAGGGTGTTCAAGTACTGACATATGTTTGGTAGGTAAGTGAAAAGGTCAGGGAAAGGAGGATTTCATTTTTAATATGTGTAATGCAATATTAGTCAAGATTCATGTACCATCAATCACTGTAGTTTATTATTTATCATTATCGGTCGCATACTATTATATCTCTGATTGTATTTTAAAATTTTCAGCCCTGAAGATGACCCACATGTTTGGGTTCAAACGTTGGCAAAAATAAAAAAAATAATTTTTTTTTTAAAAGACTGCGTCCTGAATATTTATCACCCATATTAAAATTTACAATCGTACTACCTAAAAATAACTATCTAACTAACTACATACTATTTGGACTTTAGTCTCACCTAGCCATATAATATATAGCCATCCCTCCCTATAATACAACCAATTAACCAAAAA